TCAAGGGACTTCTTATGTTATCATTATTTATCAATTGTGGTATTTTTAATTGCATAATGAGTAGCTAAATCGTCTAGGCTAGGTTATGTTATGGTGAAGCTATTTCTACATTTTTGGACTCTATGTTGATTTGACCATTGCATGAACCTATTGATCTATAACCTTATTCAGTTGTTTCTTGTTCGTAATGCTTTTTATTTGAGACACTCTGTTAATATGATATTAGACACATATGGATTATTGACCCTTAGCCTATGTGTTGGACCTAGGGCAATTGTTTTACTTACGTTGGTCAAATATGGATAGGAGACCCCGAGTAATGGCATAGGGAATTAACATTATATACATCGCCTAACCCTGCTTACACTGGCGGAATAGGGATAGAAAGTTTTGAGTGGTGGTTAGTGAGTTATTTTGTGAGAGATCGGCTATAACAGCTTTGTTAATTCACTGTGGGGGTTATAGTAATTAGATCATTCACATATGGCATCAAACATCAAAAATAAAGGAATAGGGGATTCTACAACAGCCTGACCATTTTCGTGACATTGTTTATTTGTCTATTTACTTTTCGCACTAAAACTCGAAGCCCCTGTTTATTTATTATTTCCAGTTACATTGCATAATTCTTGTCTTGTTCGAACACAGTCCTTGTGGGTTTGATCTTTTTATTACTACGACATTATTGGTATACTTGTTGAGAAGTCATCATTCAGCAGGCCTTAAGAGATGTTGTTTGAAGCGATTTTTATTATTGGTTTTCAATCAGATTTGTTGCAATTAATTTAGCAATGTGTGTTTGATTTGTTTAACAACTGGAGATTTTCAAATCAGAGCTAAATGTAATTTGAATTGGAAATATAACAAATCATATCTTTTGTTGTAGAGATTTAAGGAGAAAATCATATCCAACTTATTCAGTTGAGATTCTAGACGAATTAAACGCAGATGCCCATTGAAAAAAACCCAAAAGACATTGCTATATAAGGAAACTCAATTCTCATTTTTTGAAAAGAGTTTTGCAGGAACTAAGTTCTTTGTACTAGGTTTTAGTCTTTGTTACTTGTAATCCACACTAATTGCATAACCAGATTAGTGTAGAATCTACTGCTATACACCTCTATTTTTAGTAACTTGAAATAAAAGGTTTGTCTTAGTTGAGTTGTAATATTCAACATTGTTCATTAAGTTGTAAACATCAATCATGGGTTGTGTGATTGAGAAGAAAGTGAGTAGGTTCTCATATTTAGGGGGTCCTTAAATAGAACATCACTAGGATTAGGAATAGGCTTTAAACAACATGGGGTTTGTTGGTTCTTGTAAGACTAAATGTACTAATTCAAAGTAGTGAATTTCCTTTCTTGGGTAGAGTGTCACCTAGACGTAAGTGTGGTTTCACTGAACTAGGTTACCAATCTCATGTGTTATTTTACTGCTTTTTGTACTTTTTATCACTGTCATATTACTATCATTCTTTTCAAGAAGTTGGAGAAGTTATATTATATAGTCCAATATTTGTCCCATCGCAAACAAAATTACATTAACTAAGAATCCCACCCGATCAAGCTTCAACTTTTGGTTAGGAGGTGGTGATAAAACCTAACAGTTGCCCTAACCTTACTCTTCAAGATTCAAATGAAAATGCAACATGCAAAAAGATGGTGAGGTCTTGAGTTGGATAATATTCCTTGCCATTTTCCTTCTCTCACGTTTCCTTCTTTCTACTTCTCTTAAATTCTGACTTTTTATCAAGAGTGAGATAAAGAAATTAGAATAAGGAATTAAATGAGGTTAATAGGTCTTCTAGAGGAAAATACCATTTTATCCCTTTCTTCACTAATTCTATAGATTAGCTCTTAAATATCCAACTTAAGTCCTAATGCTCATGTTAATACCTAAATTCATAAGATTAAGAGAATTAATCATGGTACATGTCCATTTATCGTAGACATGACAAAATTGTCACTAAAATTGCCTCGCTTAGTCTCCAACTCCCAGTATTGTTAGACCTCGTTGTAAACCATAAGTGTTATAATGGTAACAAGTTGATGAAATATATGATACATAATTACTACTAAGTTCTCAAGTAAATCAACTGACGCACCTCCATAGATAGTGGAAAGGGCCACAAATGTTTCCATCCCCACTATTTGTGAAGATATATTAATTCACTATTGACTTGACATCCTCGTTGATCAAATAAATGAATATTTTTAATGGTTCATGTCATAGTGTCCTACTAGACATGCCAATTTTGTTGTCAAACTTGAAAGTTAGTCGAGGAACTGACTAATAATTCTCAACAATGATATCTTTTCTTCAAGTGATTTCCTTGAAGGAGGAACTTTGTTCCTTAATTGTGGGTTCCTTAACCATTTTAAAGAGTGTTTAGTATGATGTGTGGGGATGTTGAGTTACCAAACTAAAAAATCCATAAAGTAAAGTAAAGCAAGATAAAAATTTACAAAATAACTTGATTTCAATTGATTAAGATGATTACAAAGTAATATTTATAAGAAAGCAATAGTCATGTTGGCTAGATCATATTTGCCTATAGAATTTAATGTTGCTAGACTATTTGTATGGGTAGTGTAAGGATCCCTCACGTGGGTGGTCGTAAAGCCCTATGTTTGGCTAAATTCCATCTATCTTGTGGTATATGTCGTTGATCTTATCTTTAAGGCGCAAATTTTTTTAAAATACGGTTCTCCAATCTCCTTCTGGCAGTTTAAGGAAGTAATTTCTTTTTTTGAAGAGAAACTATTGGTGGCCATTTCATGAGATTAATGGTTTTTATTCTATTACGTCGACTTATATTGTCGCGACGAATGCTAATCTTGTGTAGTGATATCCACAAATGAAAGTGATGTAATTTTTCCCATTAACATGTGTTAGTTAATCCCCCTTTAAACGACATGTCCTTCTAAACCCCGATTGTATTTCTAGTGGTTTGTATAATGACCCTTTGAAGATACTTTTTTTCACTTATTTGTAATTTATGAGATTATCACTATTCTATGATATAAGATTTTTAAATGGTTTGAGTGGTATTTCATTCTTCTTAGGGATCTTTAAAAGTAGTACTGTATAAATACAAATATTTTTTGAAAATAATAAAATTCATAAAATTTGTTGAGATGTATAAATAAAATAACTTAAACATGAAAATTTTAAATAAAAAAAATAGAAATGATTTTTTATTTATTTTATTATTAAAACTAAGAGCATCTTTAGTGGGAGTAAATTAAATGGGTAAACTAAGATACTTTTTGTGGGTCCAAAGTGATGTCTAGGATTTAAAAAATTTATAGTTGATTTGAGTAGTTTTTACTTTAATGGTGGTTGTCTATAAGAAACCAAAACTTGACCCCATATTTTATATTTTTTATTCAAGTTACCATTAATTTAATTATTTTAATTAAAATACATATAATTTTTTAAATAAAATTTACCTTAAAAACTTAAAAATAATATTAAATATATTTTATTATAAAATTAAAAATGATACAAAATTCACAACAATAATACATAAAAAAAATTACATTTTCGTAGGAATATAATTATAATAAGGATTCCATTGGTTGGGATCCATTTAATAAATAAATAAGATTGGAAATTGAAAGAAAAAAATTTAGAAGTAAAACTGTATGTAAAAAAAATTAAAATTTATATAGAATTTATAGAAGGTAAAAAATGATAATATGACCGTTACTATTTTCAAATATCATACCCATACTTTAATGTTGTTGGAATATTTAGAATATTTTATTAATATTAAATAATATTATAATAAGTTTCAAATAGTTAACGTTAACTATATAGATAATGGAAACTAAATTTTAGTTCATTTGGATGCCATGTCAGCTCTCCAATAATGCAAATTCCTTATTACTAACGTAAGTTATAAAGAATTTTGGTTTAACAACCCTGCATTAAAGTTGCTCTAATATAACTAATTTATTACACTAAGACCATCTCCAACGGTGGTTCTTCAAATTGGTTTGCCAACTTGGCATTGAAATTGTCAACAAAAAGTTATTCCAGCTGGTGAACGTTCCTTGCATAAGTAATGGTTCTTCATTTTTTTTATTATTAAAATAATTATTTAACTTGTTGGTTTTATTTTTTTTTAACTCTTTTTATTTATTATAAATATAAGTTTGTTGCAAAAATTTATAACAATCCTATTTTCTCTCACTTTTATTTACTCTTTAATTTTAAATTTCTCTCTCACAATTTCATCATTTTATTCATAAATTATTATTTTTAATTTTATGTTTAATTTTAATTTTATGTTTAGTTTATATTTATAGTAATTAAAATTTAAATATTTAAATTAAAATTTTAAATAAAATAAATTTAATATAAATAATATATTTAAGTAAAGTAGTGAGACTCAATATGGGTTCTTTGAAGTTGCACCATTGGAGTGAAAATTGAATAAGTCATTTTAGAAGAGTGAGTTCTACAAAAAACCTAAAAATTGGTTGCACCATTGAAAGTGCTCTAAAGAGTGTGAAATTCAAAATAGAACATTAAAATGAGAAAGCTATAGAATACTAAACTCTTTACCAGCATTGTTTGAACCCAGTCCAACTTATCTATTTTTTTTATTTAAAAAATAAAGTTATTTTAGAAATAAAAAGTAGAGAAAATTGACTGGAAAGAAAAATAAATAAAAAGAAATGAATAAGGATAATCAAAAGGAGAATAAAAAAAAAATGAAAAACTGCAAAACCGACAAAGTAGCCGTGAAAATAACTGACACGTAGCAAAAGTATACACATATGAGTCACACCCTGTTCCCTATTTAACAAACTCCAACTCCAAACAATAATACCCTAACAAAAAGCGGGAACTCAAAAAACCTTACACACGTATAAAAAAAAATAACAGATCATTTTCATTCATTCCATTTCCTATTTCCACCACCACACTCCACCGCCGCCACCACGCCGCCTTAATACTCAACCATTACTTCGATCAGGTTCCGTTGAAAAATGGAACAGAAAACTCTTCTGATATCAGCAGTAAGTGCTAGCGTTGGAGTTGGAGTTGGATTTGGAATAGCCAATTCTAGACAAAACGTTTCTAAATGGGGACGTACTTACTCTTTCTCATCCTCAAATTCCGTTACTGCTAATCAAATTGAGCAAGAAATGATTCGGCAAATCATTGATGGAAGAGATAGTAACGTTACTTTTGATAAATTTCCTTACTACTTAAGGTATTGCTTATGATTTTTACATTTAATTAACCTACCTTTGATTTTAGTTCTATTTTCATAATTTTTATGCTTCGCTATTTGTGATGATGATAACAGTGAGGAGACAAGAGTTTTGCTTACGAGTGTTGCTTATGTTCATTTGAAGCATGCTGAAGTTTCTAGATATACTCGTAATCTCACTCCGGCTAGTAGAACAATTCTTCTCTCAGGACCTGCTGGTTAGTTATTTTCTGAATTCATAGTTGATATTCGAGATTTTTAGTGGTTTTTACTTAAAATATTATATATAATTAAAATTCTTGGTAAAATTATTTAACAAAATTGGAACTTGATTCCTAATAAGATTCAATTTATGATTGGGAGAATAGATTTTTTGATTCATAATTGAATTTGGTAACTATGGATTTTAATATGCTCTTGATGTTTTTTCATGTTATGAAGAACTTTACCAGCAGATGCTTGCAAAGGCTTTATCTCATTACTTTGAAGCCAAGTTACTTCTATTGGATTTAACTGAGTTTTCATTGAAGGTGAGTGTTACATGTTGAGTTATTCAAATCTTTCCTATTTTGTATTGCGACCTCTAAAATTTTGTGTATGTGGCGGTGTCCGTGTTGCATTTGCTTCATAGGTTGTTACTTATATATATTAATGGTTGATCTTCTGTGATTGCTGCAGATTCAGAGTAAATATGGTTCTAGCAACAAAGAATATGTAAGATATTCCTAGTTTATCTTCCATTACTTTTTTCTCATGCATTTATTAACACGATTAAGAATCAACACGAGAATAAAGTAAGTGTAGCAGAGATGAGGATGCTGCTTTGGATCCGGTAACACTAGAAATTGGAAATTAAAATATTAGCGTGTTGGAGTAGCACCTATAATAGAGAAGATGGTGGAAAATAGATTTAAGTGGTTTGAGCATGTAATGAGAAGTCCGGTAAATTATGTGGTAAGGAGAGTAGATAATATGAAGAGAAGTCAAAACAATAACTAAAGGAAGACATAGAAAGATTAGAAGAAAGATCTCGATATTAACGATTTGGGATAGAAGCATGGTCCTAGATAGAACATTATAACGAAAGTTGATCTATGTAGTTGACTCTAGTGGGATATGACTTGGTTGTTGTTGTATGTATTATGCAAAAGTTAGTCTATTCAGAACGGTGCTGCTTACTATTATGGATATTTATGATGTTCCTTGTTGACCTGATTTTGCTACCTATCTTCTTTTCCACTGTTTTTTGATTGTAGTCTTTCAAAAGATCCACTTCAGAGTCAACTTTGGAGAAGCTATTTGGGTCATTTTCAATCTTTTCGCAAAGGGAAGAACCTAAAGGTACACCAGATTGATTTAACATCTTCAAATCCATGGTCAAAAGCTAGATTCATAATATCAATCAAAAGCTTTGTCAATCTTTAATACAGGTTTTCTGCCTGTTTTAGTTTGAAGAATAATGATAACTTATAATTGGTCAAGAAGTTAATTCTTATAAATTTATCTTTTTATCTGGACATTTCCAGCTTAAATTCTAGTATGTAGTTTGCATTTTATTACAAAATCCATTAATTCAACATTACTGACCAAAGGCAAAATTAGTTGCAGGAAAAATGCACAAGCAAAGAAGTGGAGTGGATCTAAAATCAATGTAAGTAGAGTATATGAACTATATGAACAAATATAACTCATTTTATATCATTACTTAGTATATATGCCTTTTAATTTGCAGGGGTGATGAAACATCTTGTAATCCTCCGAAGCTCCGCAGGAATGCTTCTTCCACTTCAAATATTAGTGGCCTTACTTCTCAAAGCAATCCTACAAATTCAGGTTACTAAGGCAGATGGATATGTTTTCATCGCATTTTCCTGTAAACTTTCATTGTTCCATCTTTCTAATTCTAATATTATTATCTTATAATATCAATTCAGCTCCTTTGAAGCGCACAGCCAGCTGGTCTTTTGATGAAAAATTACTTATGCAGTCTCTTTACAAGGTAATGTTACATGTAATCGTAGAGGTTTTCAGCATCAGAGCATTCCCATGTTTCATAAAGATTTGGTTTGATAATTGAAGTTCTACTTGCAGGTTCTACTTTCTGTGTCAAAAACCTATCCAATTGTGCTATATCTGAGGGATGTTGATAGGTTATTATGTAGATCACAAACCATATACAACATGTTCCAAAAAATGTTGAAGAAACTCTCTGGACCGATTCTGATTCTTGGTTCGCGAGTTTTAGATTCTAGTAATGACTTTGAAGAGATGGACGAGAAACTTAATTTGCTCTTCCCGTATGATATAGAAATCAGACCTCCAGAAGATGAATCACATCTTGTCAGCTGGAAGTCTCAACTGGAAAAGGATATGAAGATGATACAAGTTCAGGATAACAAGAATCATATCACAGAAGTGCTTGCAGCCAATGATCTTGATTGCGATGACTTGGATTCTATCTGTGTGGAAGACACAATGGTTCTCAGCAACTATATAGAAGAGATTATTGTGTCAGCGGTCTCTCATCACTTGATGAAAAACAAAGACCTTGAATACAGAAACGGAAAACTCATTATTTCTTGCAATAGGTGAGACTTGCAATGTTAATATCACGAGCATGGACTATGTATACTTAATGTACTTCCTAATCTTGTGAAACAGTTTGTCGCATGCATTGGGTATATTCCGAGCGGCAAAGTTCAGTGGAAGAGAGACATCGAAATTGGAAGATCAAGCACTAAAATCTGAGGTTTGCACTACTAATCGTGTCTGTTCATCAAGTCCAAAACAAAAACTACTGACTACCCTTTACTAATATGCTTTTATTGCTATCTCACTCATGAAAATGAAGATTCCAAGTGAGGTTGAAACTGTTCTGGAACCAGCAGTGAAAGCTGAAAAGAAGGCTGAAAGTGCTGCTCCTGAAAAGAAGGCTGAAAGTGCTGCTCCTGAAAAGAAGGCTGAAAGTGCTGCTCCTGAAAAGAAGGCTGAAAGTGCTGCTCCTGAAAAGAAGACTGAAAGTGCTGCTCCTGAAAAGAAGACTGAAAGTGCTGCTCCTGAAAAGAAGACTGAAATATCAACTTCAGTAGCAAAAGCAGGTGTTGAAAAATCAGTTCCACCGTCAAAAACTGCTGTAAGCCTTTGTTTTTAATCAAAAACTTCATCTATTTGTTTATCGTTTCATTTCGAAGCTGCATACTTCAACAAACAGGTATTGGTGTTGGCTTCATATCTTATGGTTTAACAACACCCTTTTTTGGTCTGTTGACTTGTTTATCTCATTTCTTCTCTTTCGTTATGCAATGTGAGTTTACTGTAATATTCACTTGCAGGAAGTTCCTGCTGATAACGAGTATGAGAAGCGAATAAGGCCTGAAGTTATACCAGCAAAAGAGATTGATGTAACATTCGCTGATATTGGTGCCTTAGAAAAAACAAAAGAATCCCTTCAAGAATTAGTGATGCTTCCTCTCCGAAGGCCAGACCTTTTCACTGGAGGACTTCTAAAACCATGCAGAGGAATATTGCTATTCGGGCCTCCTGGAACTGGGAAAACAATGCTGGCAAAGGCCATTGCAAAGGAAGCTGGAGCAAGTTTCATTAATGTATCCATGTCTACCATTACTTCTAAATGGTTCGGTGAAGATGAGAAAAATGTTCGCGCTTTATTCACACTAGCATCCAAAGTCTCTCCAACTATTATATTTGTCGACGAGGTTGATAGCATGCTTGGGCAACGATCAAGACACGGGGAGCATGAAGCCATGCGGAAAATAAAGAATGAGTTTATGTCTCATTGGGACGGGCTCACGACAAAACAAGGAGAGCGCATCCTTGTTCTTGCAGCAACCAATAGGCCGTTCGACTTGGATGAAGCTATTATAAGGCGATTCGAAAGGAGGTACTAAGCCACTAGATTTCTGCGTTTTTCAGGTATGTTTGTCGCGTTTTTCACCTTTGTCTTCTGTTTTCTGTTGTAATGCAGAATTATGGTAGGACTGCCATCTGTTGAGAACAGGGAAAAGATATTGAAAACTCTTTTGGCAAAAGAAAAGGCCGACGCAGAAATTAATTTTAAGGAACTCGCAACCATGACAGAAGGATATACCGGAAGTGATCTTAAGGTTTTTTGTTTTCAATGCACATAATTATATTGTGCTACAAGTGCTTTTTGTTATATTTGAGCTTTTGATTATCTTGTGACCTTTACTTACTGTCATGAACTTTTTTCAATGCAGAATTTTTGCACAACCGCTGCTTACCGGCCTGTTAGAGAGTTGATTCAACAAGAGAGGTTAAATTATCTGGTAATGCTATAATTCATTTTTAACATCTTGTATAATCATCTGATTCTGTAATCATTATCATAACCTTGTTTATGGTTTTTTAACAGGAGAAGAAACAGAAAGGGACCAAGGGACAGAACAACAATACCCTAAAAGCAGAAGAGGAAGTTCAACCAGAAAGAATTATTACTCTTAGGCCATTGAATATGCAGGATTTCAAAGAGGCTAAGAGTCAGGTAATTGTTTTAGAAAATGTTTTTAACAAAGATGAATAGGTAACGAAATTGTTTTTGACCATGGAGCTTTCTTGGATTATACATACAGGTTGCTGCAAGCTTTTCTGCTGAGGGTGCTGGAATGGGTGAGTTGACTCAGTGGAATGAGTTGTATGGAGAAGGGGGTTCTAGGAAGCAAAAACAGTTGACCTACTTCCTATGAAAAATATCATGCAAGAGAAATTTGTCCCTTTTCAGTGAAATAGTGTGTGGGAATCATTTTCATCTCAGGCAATCAAGATTTCACTAGTTATTTCTGTGTATATTTTATAACTTTGCTGTTTTGCTCTTTTTGCAACGATTAATAGTTAGTTATAAATGTAATATATAATCTTGTTTTGCTGTGTCTATCGCAATAAGGTGTTTATTTACTAGCATTTTAGAAAATCATAATTGTTTCCAAATACATCATATATCAAATTTGCTATTGTCTTTTATTCTATTATTAGATTTTCCATGTTTACAACATGAATCATGGGATACAATTAACTTTCTTTTAACACTTCCCTTTAAGTAGGAGAGTGAATATCATGAAGTTCCAACTTGCTCTTCATTATATGAAAAGCTTCCTTCTCTATTGGTTTGGTGGACATGTCGGCAATTTGTTATGCTGATCCGTTGCAATTGAACCATTTTCCATGTCGGCAATTTGTTATACTGATCTGTTGCAATTGAACCATTTTGAATTTTGTCAATAATAAAATGACAATCTATCTTTAATCTATCTTTATGTTCTTTCATGAAATACTGAATTAGATGTAATGGAAAGAGCTGATTTATTGTTACAATACAACAATGGTGCCTTTGAGTGCAATATCTCAAAATCTTTCAAGTGATCATAGCCAAGACAACTCACCACACGTACCTGTCATAGCTCTGTTTTCAGCTTAGAGAAATTGTCTTCTGTCTCTTTATTTTTCAAGAAATTAGTGATATCTCAAGAAAACATAATAATTTGTAGTTGATTTTCTTTATATTTAATAATCTCTCCAATATGAATCGCAAAAAGCATATAAAGAAAAGAAAAATAAATTGTTTTTTAGATACCACAATATTCGATTCAATATGTGCATTGAGTAGGTGATATTTGAAGTGTGATATTTGAATGACTAACACTAAAATAAATTAGATGTCTTACAAGTCTCCTACATGAGGATGAATCTTTCAATAAATCTCCTTTATTAGACAATTTCAAATTTTGTTCCTTGAAATTTTTTACGACTTAACTCTCATTCTCAAACATCCTCCATCTTTTAGAATCTCTAGAGCGTTTTTTCTTTACAAAATAAATATACTTTTTTTGACCGAGAAACCTCCCAAAAAAATTCTTAAAGTCACCCAAATTTTTAATACGGAAATAATAATATAAAAAATGCTTAAGAACAACTATGGTGTCTAGATCATTACCGATTATGATGTTGTCATCGATATAGATCAGTAATGCAGTAAATGATTTTCCTTTCTTACATGTAAACAATGAGTAATCTGATTTGGACTAAACAAATCCAGCACCTTGAATAGCAGCAGAGAATTTGGCAAACTATTTACCAGAGGCTTATTTTAAACCATATAAAGATTGTTGAGGTGACACACAAGATTCTTCCCCTGCCGTTAAAACCAAGAGGAAGAGATATATAAGTTTCTTCAGAAAGATCTTCGTGAAAAAAAAACGTTGTTGACATCAAGTTGATGAAGTGACCAATTTTGAGTGGTTGCCAAAGCTAATAAACAACGTATTGTGACCATTTTAGGAGTTGGCAGAAAGGTATCATGATAATCAATACTTTTAACTTAAGTGTAACCCTTTGCTACTAATCGCACTTTATAACGTTCAAGAGAACCATTTGATTTACGTTTGATTTTGTACACCCAACTACAACTGATAGCTTGCTTTCTTGAAGGAAGTGGTATGAGGAACCAACCAAGTGTTATTGGCCTCTAAAGCAGCCAATTCAAATTGCATTCTTATTTTTTAATGAGATTGAGAGGCAACTTGTTGATAACATATAGGTTCAACATTATTAGTAATAATAGCGATAAAGGATCTATGTTGTGGTAAATAACTGTCAGTTGATCTTGAGTAACACAAGCAATCTCTTTCTCAATCTTAAAAAATTGTGTGGTGCATTCCTTTAAAAAAATATTTTGAAGATCTTCCCAAACTTCAATGAGAAGTGTCATGTCATATAAAAAATAACATTGTCTGCAAACTAAAGAGAGAGCACTCCAATACCATGTAAACTAAAGAGAATATTGTTGGTGCAAAGGTGAATAAATGATGAACAAAGGAAATATTCTATTAAGAATGACGGCTACAAAAAACATGATAAAAGTTACAATGATTGTCACTCTATTTATAAGCTAAAACTAGGGTTACTAGAATAAGATAAAATACTAAAATACCCTCTAACAAACTTAGGGGTTAAGAAAATAGTACAACTAAATAAATATGAATTACTATTAATATTCTAATACCATCCCTTAATTCATATTCCATCAAAACTTGCAACACCAATTCCATCCCTTAGTCTGAGAAATTGATCAGTTTTGATAGCTTTCGTCAGAACATCTGTCAACTGCTTCTGAGTGCTGCAGTGTACAACTTCTAACACTCCACTCTGAACTTGATGTCTCAGAAAATGATACTTGGTCTCAATATGCTTGCTTCTCCCATGCAACACTGGGTTTCTGGCAAGATTGATCGCAGACTTGTTGTCAATCATCAACTTCAGAGGTTTGTCTACTTTAATCTTCAGATCCTGCAACAGATTCAGAATCCACACAGCTTGGCATGCAGTAACAGCACCTACAATGTATTCAGCTTCACAGGTTGACAACGCCACAACAGGTTGCTTCTTGGAACACCAAGAAATAGAACCTCCCAGAAATTTGAACAAGTACCCAGATGTACTTCTTCTGTCAACTCTGTCTCCACACCAATCAGAGTCTGAATAACTCAGAAGTTCTGACTCATTATTTCCTCCATAGGGAAATAACACTCCATACTTCAGAGTTCCTTTGATATACCTCAGAATCCTGACAGCAGCTTGGTAATGGGACCACTTAGGTTTACTCATGAACCTACTAACCATCCCAACTGAGTAGCAAATATCAGGTCTGGTATTGCACAGATACCTCCGAGAACCAACCAATTGTCTGAAGGTTGTAGCGTCCACATCCTTTCCTTCAAAGTCTGAATCCAGTTTCTGATTTGTATCAGAAGGTGTGACAGCCATCTTACAATTCTTCAGATCAAATCTCTTCAGAAGTTCTAATTCATACTTGAGCTGATGCAAAATGATACCTTTCTCAGAATATCTGAACTCCATCCCTAGAAAGTATGTCATTTTGCCTAGATCAGTCATTTCAAATTCATTCATTAGAACCTTCTTGAACTTGGTTATCTCTTGTTCAGAACTTCCAGTCAGCAGTATATCATCAACATATAAACATACCAGAGTCATATTGCCTTTAGAAGTATGCTGAACATAGACACCGTACTCCATCTCACATTTCTGAAAGCCTTGCTTCTTGAAAAATGAATCAATCTTCTGATTCCAAGCTCTGGGCGCTTGTTTCAATCCATATAGAGCTTTGTATAATCTGTACATCATCCCTTCCTGATTCTTTTTCACAAATCTAGGAGGTTGTGACACGTAAACTTCTTCTTCTAATGGACCGTTCAGAAATGCAGATTTTACATCTAAATGCATCAGAGGCCAATTCCTGTTAGCAGTTATTGCAATCACCATTCTGATTGTCTCATGTCTTGCTACAGGTGCAAACACTTCAGAGTAATCCAGCCCAGGTTTTTGTAGAAATCCTCTGGCTACCAACCTTGCTTTATGTTTGCCAATTGAGCCATCTGGCTTTAACTTCTGCTTGAAAACCCATCTGACGCTGATGGCTTTCTTGTCTTTTGGAAGTTCTGTCAGCTTCCAAGTCTTGTTTCTCTCTATAGCATCAAGTTCTTCTTTCATGGCCTTCAGCCAGAGCTTCTGCTTAAGAGCCTCCTCTGTACTTATAGGTTCAGAGTCTACTAACATGGCACACTGAATAACTTCTCCTTCAGCATGCTTCTCATCATATCAAGCAAAGTACGATTTCTTCTTTCAGCAAGACCATTGTGTTGAGGAGTATAAGGAGCAGTAACCTCATGCTCAATTCCATTCTCCTCACAGAACTTCTGGAACTCTTTGGAGTTATACTCACCTCCACCGTCAGTTCTAAGAATCTTCAACTTCTGACCACTCTGATTCTCAGCCTTCATTCTGAATTTCTTGAATTCATCAAACACCTCGTGTTTGAACTTAATAAGGGATACCCATGTCATTCTTGTGAATTCATCAACAAATAACACAAAGTATTTATTCCCTCCAATTGATGCTACTGGAAATGGACCACACACATCAGAATGTACAACTCCCAAGGCATGTTTTGCTCTTGGAGCAACTTCTGACGCAAACGGCAAACGTGGTTGTTTTCCTTCCATGCAAACTTTGCATGACTTCTCAGGCTTCTTAATTGCAGGAATTCCATGTACCAGCTTCTTTGAATTCAGATGTTTTAGGCTTCTGAAATTCAAATGACCAAATCTTCTATGCCACAGCTCACTCTCCTTCTCAGCACATGTTGCACTAAGACATTCTGAGTCTACAGTTCTGACATTCACCTTGAATGTTCTATTCCTTCCCTGTTCTGACTCCATAATCAACTTCTGATTGCAGTCATACAGCTTCAGAAGATTATCCTTCATGGTAATTGAAAAACCTTTCTCAATTAATTGTTCCACACTCATCAGGTTGCTTCTGATGCCAGGTACATACCACACGTTCTGAATCAATGTTGTTTTCCCATTGTTCAGAGTCACTCTGACATTTCCCATACCTTCTGCATTAAGATATTTGTCATCAGCACATCTGATCTTTGTCCTCTTTTCAGAGTCAAAGTCAACCAGCCATTTCTTGTTTCCAGTAAGATGATTTGAACAGCCAGTGTCCATATACCACCAGTCTGTCAGATCCATATCATCAGATTCAGAGGCCATCAATAGCACAGATTCGTCATCAGAACTTCTAGCTATATTTGCTTCTTCTGATTTTCTCTCCTTGTTTGACCAACAATCTCTAGCAAAGTGACCAAACTTCTTACAACAGTAACATT